AAAAAAAAATAGACCTTTTGGAAAAATGGCTAAAAGGGGCCGATAAAGTTGAGAAAAACGGGTATGTTTCAAGTTTTGTAAGACAGAAATTTCAGAATAAAGAACAAGAACTATCAGGCACAATGGAAAAAAGATAAATCGCCTTTGTATAAATCTTGAAAGAAGATGACAGACGGCTTCGCGGCTTAGAGATTTATTTTTAGAACAACATGAAGACTGGTTAAAGGAGGATTTTATCCTTGAGTTAAATGAACTCCTTCCATCCACATCATCTACCGACCGCCCACGATTACCTTTTTCGGAGCAATCTTCCAGAACCCAGAGAAGAACGGCCTCAAAAGTTTCCGAGGAACATAAGCAGGATTGGGCTTTACTTGTGCAGGCTGCAAAATACTTTACTTGTACAGCCCGGCTGCTTTGTAAATTTAGTTATCCTGCCGATGTACTTAACCTACTTTGTGTACCTGACTTTATCGAAAAGTTAAATGAAGAACAATTTGAAGAAAAGCATGGAAAAGAAGAGGAATACGAGGAGGAAGAAGAAATGCAAAAAGAAAAAGAGCAAGAAGCATTTGAGTACAGAATGTAAGTCAAGAATATACAAAACCTGCATACAACCAGTGATGACATATGGTGCGGAAACCAGAGCTGAAACATCAGTAACAAAGAGAATCCTACGAACTACTGAAATGAAGACCTTAAGAATGATAACTGGATACACATTGAGGGACAGACAGAGAAATGTAGACACGCCTAAGAGAAAAGTGCCAAACAAACGACGTTGTCAGATGGATAAGGCAGAGAAGAAGAGAATGGAACCAGCATGTCAATAGAATGGGCCCCGACAGAATGGCCATAATAATTCGCAACAACGTACCCCATGGCAGAAGACCTACTGGACGACCACCTAAACGTTGGCAAGACAGTTGGCAGTCAACCTCGCAAGAGTTGCTTAGACGAGGAGGAAACCGGAACTAAACAGGCGATACGCCTTCTAAAAGAAGAAGAAGAAGAAGAACAAAAAAATGTTTAACGTTAAGTTTATCTATTTCCGTCGTCGGAAGCAAAAAAATACAAATAAAGAAAAAAACTATTTAAAATATTTAAATTCAACTATTCGAAAACAGATACGTCCACAAAAAACCGTTGACGTTCTGTTAAAATGACATTATATATCAAGTTAAATTTCAAAATTAACAATTACTACCTGATAACAATTACTTAATAAGGTAAAACCAAAAAGCCCCAAACTTTCTGTATGATTATTTTTAATTTTTACGTATGTTATGTTTATTTAAGTTCTTTAAAATCAAAGAAGCGATTACCATACATTACTAACATCTACAGATGCATGAGCAATACATTTATTATTATTAGATTGTATTAAAAAAGCTTTTTCATTTTTCTTTTAGAGGATATCACTTCTTTCATTATAATTTTGGCGTTATTAAAATTTATTCTGTGCCCTGTGTCCCATGAATGCTGCCAAATCTTAGATGCATATCTTAATAATTATGTACCTTACGGTATTTATAATATTAAATAATGTTTGTTTCCTAAAATATTTTGATTAAAAAAAAATATGTAAAAGTGGGCAACGCTGTGTCAGTCAAGCTTAATCACGTGACTAAAAGTTTATTTGATATTAACTATAGTTATAAGTGTTTTTTTTATTATTTTATGAACAACGCAGCATAAGAGAATATATCCTCTTCTGACCGATTTTGATTGTTTTATATTTCCTCTTGATCTCTTTCTCGGTGATGTTGTTCTTGAATGACGCGATTACAAATCACTGTTAACGGTACCACTGCGGATTGCATCCGATATATCGACAATGACCCACGTCAAGGACCACTCATTGATTTCGGACGACTCATTATCGACGGGGGATTCCGAGATGAGAACCAGTCCCCCAGTGTGTATGCACAATAACAGTAATTTTGACCACTGACCCGGTCACAGGGATGGTACCGGTTGAATTGCCTCCATCATCGGGTGGGTTCGGAATTCGCGTTAAAATGTCTCAAGATTGGGCACCAGAAATTGAGGTACCCGGTTTGTGTCAGTGGGTTAATTTGAATCAGTACTGAACCAAAACTTTGTGATGTCAATAGTTACAAGTTTTCAAAAGTTGGGACTGTATTCCGTTATTTACAGGCTCCTGAAAGATATCCGTCATTATTATCACCTCTTTTTTTATGCAAAAAGTCTTAGTAAACTTGTCAGGAGAGAACAAAATAAAAAATCACCTGTCTTAAAATTGGTATTTTTGTAGGATGACTTGAAACCGTGATAGATATAGTTACAGCACTTCTTTTGATGATCGAAAAAAAAAACAGCGTCCAATTGGCTTGGAAATGACCATCCATTACATTCCTCATGTAATTTTACATATGAAATAACAACGACGGATCTTCTCCCCCCGGTCGACGATAAAATACCATTTTATCGTCTTGTATAAAAAATAACTATTAAATTAAAATCCTTGACAAAGAAATTTTATAGTCTAATACTGGCCTAAAGATTTTGTACGTATTTTTATCTTAAAAATAAGTATATTAACTTGTATTCTTTTAAATAAATGGTGTTCTCTGATTTCATAATTAAAATAATAAAGATGACCACAGGCAACATCTTGATTAGGTAACCGACGACGTCTCGTAACCCGATCATCACCAGAAAAACGAAAACCAAAAATAAAAAGACCCAAATTCTCAGAGTTTACCTGCATTATCGTTAACCCACATCAACATATGAAATAAAAAAACCGCACGGTGTATTTTGGTTCTGCGAAAAAGTTCGTTTGCCTCTTCTCCATTGCTCTCCATTTATTTCCTGCGAATGATTGATTAGGTTTTTTTGTGTTTGGAGAGTTGGCAAGCCTTAAATGCGAGTCATTTTCGTGTCTTTTGTATGATAATTATTTTAAGTTAACAGATTATGAGTAATAAAAGGGATATATTATGTTTGCTTAAATATAACAATTAATCAGCAAGATTGTATCAAGATAAATATCGGGTGGTCGAATAAAAACGACGTCACGGTAGGCGTAAAAATATCATCTTAATATGAGCTGAACTGGCTCTTACTGTAAAAATAATATGGATCAGAAAATTGATTAACTACAGATCTACTTATGGTACATCTAATAATTTGATATCAAAGATATAATTAAAATAACCTAGAGATTACATAATAACTAACACTAATCCAATTAGAATTGATTTTTTTTGGAAAATGTTGCACTCACACATGATTTTGTATTTCGGATCTATGTGTTCCATAATAGTCTAAGGGCTGGCTACATAAAAAACCTTATCATCGTTACATGGCTAATTTTTTGTGTTAAGTATCCTTTTGTGTAGCCATTATGAAATAATCATGTCTGCCAGCGCGATCCCGGGGCTTAAAGCCGGAGCGGCCAATCGAAAGGGTGAAATTTTGACACTAAAAATATTATAAGATAATAAGTATAGATAAATCATATAATATACGATTATATTATAAATATATTTTTTTACTATTTCAATAACGATTTTTTGCCTGTCCTTTTGCAAACGGCTTTTTAAATTAATTAACAATAAACATGACATTCCACCAACATCGCATGTATGCGATGATTTTCTTTTGTCAAAATTCTATGCCTTTTTCGCGTTGTCTGTCGGCATTTCAGCCACGAGAAAAATGTCTGTCAACAATTTTACACGTTTCTTAATAATAAATATAAGCTATTTTCCCAATTATAACTCATGTATTATAATATTTTTAGTGTCAAAATTTTACCCTTTCGATTGGCCGCTACCGCTTTAAGCCCCTGGATCGCGCTGGCAGACATGACTATTTCATAATGGCTACACAAAAGGATACTTTACACAAAAAAATAGCCATGTAACGATGATAAGGTTTTTTATGTAGCCAACTCTCGGTCTACAATATAAACACCTGTTACGTTAATAATAGAAAATTTTATATTTTTATTTTATAGTTATTAAATTTGCATATTTCATATTTAAAAAATAATAATACAACATACAATATGATCGAAAATAAACCGCGTCTATGGAATGAAGATCGCTGTCATTTTATAAGTAAAATTATATGGAGAATGTCATTGATCGTCATTACATTTTATTTACCACTATTTTTAAATATCTGCTTGTATTAGAATATTATTATCTTCTGCTTACAGAATAGATTTTCCCGTCTTACTCATCGTTGATGTCTCTCAAGAAAATTAACAACCCATTTGATTTATAGCTATAGATTCTCTCTAATATAGCGTTTTGTAGTACCAATGATCTAAACATAAATATATGTATAATTACATCACAATTACTTCCCCGTTGTTTTCTTATAAAGTATTGAATATTAAATATAATTATCTTTTTTGTTGGATACTATATATTTATATTTTTTTATTATTTTTATTAGTAATTTTTCAAGGATGTTATTGTTTCTTCAGTGTTTATTATTATTTTTCAAGGTGGAATATATATTTTTGTGAGAAAAAATATTTATAAAATTATTAATAAAATAATTTCTTTATTAAAAATGTTAAAATTATTTTTATAGTTATTTTTTTTTTCATTATGATCATTATTATTTTTTAATTGGTAATCTATATTAATTTATGTCTTATTTTTAGAACTTATTTTTGAATAATATTCTTTATTATAAAAAATATAAAAATGATGGAGCAAAAATAAATAAAAAATCAGACTATAGAACAATCTAGAAACGTTTTGTAAAAGTTATTTTTACTATACAGATTTTTCAAGAGCATAGAACCGATTCCAAATTATTATTATTATTTATTGTTCAATATATTTTGATTTTAGGTAGATTTTTAGGGAAAATTTCTTAAAAAAATCAGTATTTTAAAACTTGTGATCACAGACGAACAATGTTAGTAAACAGTTATTTTAGATGAAAATATTAAATATTATTCGAATTTTTAATAACAAAAATACATAGTTAAAAATAAACAAAAAACTTACCTGACAAAATTTTATACAAAAACCGCCTCGTCACCTTGAGAACACCGGAAAAAAATGTTTTTTTTTCGCAAATTCTTCGAAAATCACTTTTTTGGAAACTGTTCACGCGAACCAACCCCTAGCTAGTACCGGTGGTTACTTTTCAGTTTTGCAAGTTCGTGTCGTGTTTGTGACCATTCTGCAGGAGCCCCCCCTGCTTTTATACCGATCCCCACCTCCATGGCGAGGTTTTCGCGAAGGAAGATGGCAAAGAAGATGACCGACGCTTGATCTGTCGCGAAAAATTCGATATTGGTACTTTAGCGTGGTACGGTACCGCTCCGATGTTCTAGTTACTTATTTTTAGTCAGTCGCGTACCTGGTGCTTATTTGGTACGGTATTGTTTATTGTCGTTTTTTATTTCGGTGACTTTATGTCGTATTGAACAAGCTGTTTTTATTCATAATAAATTATATTCATAAATGAATAATTTATCCTTTATTAATTTTGTTGTATTTCGGTACTTGGAAAACATGAGAATTTTGTTTATGTGCAAACCTAAAGTACGTACTACGATGCATTTCAGGAAAATATTTTAACTTCTATAGGGTGGCTCAAAGAAGTGTTAGTGGATCGGGATGATTTTTTTTAAACAGAACACCTTGTATATTATTTCTTCGATAGATGGAGAATAAAAAAAATGAACATTTTTTGTATTTAGAGTATTTCAAAAATTTTAACGGTTTCGTAGATATTCGCGGTTTTATATTTCATATATGACATTTTCTACAGTAAATTTTTATTAAAGCCACCCAATAATTTTTCTTTCGTATTTTACCATTGAAAGCGCCATATGAAATAATACTGCGTGTATCATTGTGTATCAATATTCATTTTTTCACTCTCCACCTAATAAAAAAATAATATAGATGGTGTTCCATTTAAAAAAAAAAGTTTGCCGTAGAATATTGAACATCCAGTATGATTTACGATTACCATATTTATAACAAAGTAATAACAGACCATATAAAGTAAATACCTAATAGAGTTTTGATTTCAGAACAGTTCTTCCATTTTTAATAATTTTTTTAAGAAGGACTGAAAAATATATATTTTTGATTTATTTTTTAGTATCTATGAAACTATCGAAATATATATATGTACTCATATCTTAGGATTATGTAAAGTGATCTAAAAGGAAGCCAAAAATGCAATAATATACAGGGTGTTTCATATAAAAAATCATCCAGATCGACTCACACTTTTTTGAGCCACAAGTTGTCTAATAGCTGTTTGTCAATACATGATTTTCAATACAGGTAATCATACTCTCGAAAGGTTTAATCGTATCTGAGCAACAGAAGTCAACTTGTGAGGGTGGATACCACGTTGTCTTCTAGCAAGCCAATAGAATGTGGAGTACCACAAGGCTCAGTGCTAGGCCCCATTTTGTTTCTTCTTTTTATTAACGACATTGCTAACATAAACATCAGTGGCAAAATATGTCTTTTGGCCGACGACACTAGCTTCACTTGGAGCAACAAGGACATCACGGCACTTCATAGGATTATATCAAATGACTTAATCACCATTAAATCTTGGTGCGATTCGAACCTCCTGAGTCTCGACATTTCTAAAACTAAAGCTTTGTCGTATAAAAACTCGTTGCAGCCTTTTGTACTTAACAACACCACCATTGACGTCGTAAAATCTGTAAAATTCTTAGGGCTTATTGTAGACAATTCTCTGAAATGGGACATGCATATCGAAACTTTGTCGAAAAAATTGAGCTCTGCCTATTTTGCGTTAAGATCTGTTTCTAAGGAGCTTAACTTGTCAGTGGCTAGAACTGTTTATTATGCACTTTTTGAGTCGCACCTCATGTATGCCCTTCCATTCTGGGGTACGTGTTGTGCGACTCAATTTTTGAGTTTGACCGCATTTTCAAGCTCCAGAAGAGAGCTGTTCGATATTCACTGGGACTAAACAGCAGAACTCATTGCCAGGACTTTTTTAAAAAATTAAAAATATTAACTCTTCCTTCCTTATTTATATTTGAATCCGTTTACCTAATACGTTAGCATGTATCAGCTTCTCAAGAAAGGCCATCTTACACTTATCCACTCAGGAACGCGGAGCAAGATCTTTATTTACCTACCCCACGCTCAGAGTTAGTTAAAAGTTCAATATTATCCAAGTCGAAAAAAATGCATAATCACCTGCCATTTGAAATCAAATCCATAACATCATTTTCTTCATTTCGCAAAGCATTGAACTCTTATTTACTAGACAAGGCTTTCTACGCCGTGAATGAATTATATTTTGATAATCGAATTTGATCTTATAAACACTGGTCTAGTGTTTGCTATTGCTATATTTACCAATAACACCCAAATAAATTTATTTAGAGGTCATTGATATTTTTACTATAAACTAACTAAATATTTTTGAATATTATTTTTATTTTTTTTATTCTTTGACATTGTAAACATTTATATAAATGTTTATTTTAAACAATAAGACTGACAATATTATTTCTATAATGTATTGTATTATATTTTGTTTGTTTGTTTGTGTATCTTGTTTGTTTACTTTGTTTGTTTATTTTACCTTTTTCTACAAATTGTAAAATTTTTTGACAACAAAGGCATTTATTTATTTATTTATTTTACTGTGATCTGTGTAACTATCTGATAATATTTTTAAAATGTGTATTTTAAAAAAGATTAAATTCAAAATCTAAATAGAAGACTTGATATTGAGCATTTTCACCATTGATCACCTTGTATATAGTACCTATACGTCGAAACAACAAATTTAAAAGTCATACACCTTATATAAATTGACTGACATCATACGAAAACATTAGTATTATTACCTTGAATGATTTACGAGTCTGGTAAGGTAATTAATATGTTAAAGGCTCATCGTTAGCAACATCCGGCATAAAAATGCTCTAATTTTTACGAGAAAAAAAAAATACCAATCAACGAGAATCTCAGTATCCTTGAATAAAATATTTAATTGGTAGTCATAGGTATGTAATATACAGTGTGGCCTATAAGTTAAATTTGGTGCTGCTTGTTTCTGCGAAACAAAAAAAGACATTAATACGAAGAAGTAATTTGTATAAAATTATGGGGCATGTGTTCCAAGGTTACTAAAAAACAGATTATAAAAAATATGTAAGAATCTATAATCTACTCTTTTTATTAAAGATAAAACTTGTTTTTAGTATAGGAAAAAAATGTTCTAATTTTATTTTTTCCATAGCAACTATTAAAATTGCCTTATATCTATCAAAAATAGTAGATAAAATAGTACTTTATTCGCAAGGGTAGGTTAAATGATACTTTAACAGCGAGGATAGGTTAAAAACTTTATTTCTCCTCGCACGTTTTTTAATTGCTTCCATTTTTGAAAATTTTTGTATTCCTTTTCATAAGTTATTCGGGATTTAAATGGAAGTAGTTTGGATATGGCGTTTGTCGCCTCAGCCTGAATATCTGTTGGTAATTTACTTATTTCGTTTTGAGCCATTCCTGGCTCCAATTCAATCAGCAATCGACACGAACGAGAATTAAAAAATATTGACTCAAAACTGACAACTAAAGAGACAGCTTTATTTATTTGTCAAATTATATAGAAACCAACGCCAACCCAGCACAATATTTTTTCTCCGCAAACTTCTATCCGCGCTGGCATGCTTCTTATTAAATTATCAATGTTGTCTTTTGGGGTATGATTTCCCATTCTGCTAATGCTGCATCAATAAGCTGTGCAAGATTTCCTGGATTGTTTCGACGAGCTCTAACCCTTCTTTTGAGCTAGTCCAAGTGCTCGATAGGTTTTAGATCTGGTGAACATGCAGGCCGTCCAAAACTATGACACCTTTCAAGACATTCTCTATTCACTCTGCTGGTATGGGGAGGTGCACTATCGTGCATGAAGTTAATATTATCCCCAATTGCAGCTCTCCAATGACTAACGATTGGTTCTAGCATCAAATCAACATATCTCCGATAACTTTAATGAGCAAAACCGTCCCATTTTGAAATTAAATAACTCACCGCTAGGTGTCATCCGGACCAACTGTCACTTTTTGATTATTGGAATATGATTAAAGGACAATGCACACTATTCGTTCCGTTTCCTTTCCGTTATCCTTTCCTTCCGTACATTTTTTTTGGAGGACGGACTGAAGCGTATCGGAAACAGCGTTGTCAAGTTCTTACATTTCTACCAGCTCTGTTAACAATTTTATTGATGTTTATTTATTCTTTCACCTCTTAATTAAATCTGTTACCTTTTTCAAAGGATACAAATTTAAAAGAAAACTTTCATAATGATATAAATTGTATAATAAAAAGAACTGGAAACTGATACGGGACGGAAGCTTACGTATAGCGTCAATACAATAAAAATACGGAACGAATATGGAATGGAAAGGAAAGGTATTGTTACGTTTTTCGTCGGTTCCGTGTGGATAGAAAGTCACAATTTATTTAAACACTATTTATTTAACACTAATTAACAAAAACAATAACGATAAAAGACTTATAGAACTATTTACAAACGATTTATAACTAAGAATTTATTTTGAATTTTAGCGCGTCAACTGCACTCGTATATTTATAACTGCCCTCTGTAGACCACAGCCGCCGGCTTTTATACCGACAGGTAAAGAACTCTAGAATAGTCCATAGATCGTTAGGTGCATAGAGAAGGTTTCGATTGTTCTCGTATGTACTACTCCATTCCAGTAGAACTCGATACTTCTCGAATCTTCGAATGCTCGTCGAGGTACATGCTCGTCCCGAGATGTGCACGGTGAATGAAGGTATTTGCAAAGCTGGTAGATTGCGAAGTCTGGTAGAAATAGCAATCTACAGTTTTCTCCCCCGATCTCAGCTTTGGGTTGTAGCAGCAAACAAGGATCTCGATTCCCGTAAATCTGAACAAGACTTCAATCATGTTCCGGATTGTACGCCAACTCAAACCATCGAGTCCACACGCCAGCTTCGGAATGGCTAATCGGTGTAATGTTGTTGTTTAGCAAGGCTTCTCTGAGTTCAATCAGGGTCTTCCATAGATTGAGATAAGTCGGCTTACTCGGCGACCATTCCTTAGTGACCAGGTAGAAGATGTGTCTTGCTTGACCATGTGCATCGCTCATCTTCCTGGAGCTCTGAGAACCCAA